GGAAGGAAGGAAGGAAGGAAGGAAGGAAGGAAGGAAGGAAGGAAGGAAGGAAGGAAGGAAGGAAGGAAGGAAGGAATCTGGAAGCGGTGTCCGTGCTACTGTGGGGAAAAGGACCGAGCTGTCAGTGGAAGAAGAGCATGAGCATCAACCATGCTGAAGAAACAAAGACAAAAGACAGGAAACACAACCCCCAATTTCAGTGATAGAATCAAACTTTTTAATTTTCTTTCTAGAAACTTACAAATTCCAACTCATAGATTTTTTTTTTTTTTTTTATGATTTATTTATTATGCATACAGTGTTCTGTTTGCATGTATCCATGCAGGCCAGAAGAGGGAGCCAGATCTCATTACAGATGGTTGTGAGCCACCATGTGGGTGCTGGGAATTGAACTCAGGACCTCTGGAAGAACAGCCAGTGTTCTTAACCTCTGAGCCATCTCTCCAGACCCCCCAACTCATAGATTTTTTATAGTAAAAAGATTATTTACTGGCAAAAATCGTAGGAACCCTTCAGACGCCATGAGCAAGCATCAGGCTAGGCTCATGACCTGGTCCTGCCCACCTGCGATGGGGGTTTTGGAGAGGCAGAGCAAGGAAACAGCTTGGTCCCCAGAAGAAGGACTAGACGGCGAGGATTTCCAAATTCACATTCAACGTTTCCGGTGGTAAGTATAGACCTCTGTGAGGATGGAGGCATTTCTCATGAAGAATACTGCCTCCTGGATACATTTTTTTTTTTTTAAATACAATGTTTGTTTGTGTGTCAAAAGATGTATCCTGAGGCAGAGGATGTAGTTCGGTTGATACAGTGATGGTTTAACATGCATGAAGCCTTGGGAGTGATCTTCAGCGCTGCAAAAAGTGGGCGTAGTGGCTCTTTTGTCATTTCAACACTTGGCAGGTAGAGACAGGAGAATCAGGTGTTCAGAATCATCTTCAGCTACACAGTGTGTTTGAAGAGAGCCGGAGTTACGTGGGATCCTATCTCAAAAAAGAAAAGAAAAGAAAGGAAGGAAGGAAGGAAGAAGGAAGGAAGAAAGAAAGGAAGGAAGGAAGGAAGGAAGGGGGAGAGAGAGAGAGAGAGAGAGAGAGAGAGAGAGAGAGAGAGAGAAAGAAAGAAAGAAAAGGAAACTTTGTATCCTGTCATCCGTTCCTGTAATCTCAGAACTCCAGAGACTAAACTAAGGCGGGAAGACTGCAAATTCAAGGCTGTATCCCTCCAATTGGCAAGAGACCAAGGTCACTGGGAAAACCTCAGTGACAGGAGTCCACTTCCTTCATAGTCTTGGAGACTGTGTCTGTCCATTAGACAGGCCCCCTCTGTGCAACAGGGCCAGGGATGGTCCTATGAAACCCTGACCCATAGTTCCTAGCTGCTCCAGGCAGAGTATCCTGGCAGAGAAGAGACATGATCATTCAAGGACACAGGGACCCCAAGAAGTGGGAACAGCTCATTACCTAGAGCTTCGCAGAGGAGGATTTAAACTCTACCAATTGATTGATGTCGTTTGGGAATGTCATCCAGGAGCCACCATCAACCACCAACACAATCCCTGAGACATAGGAAGCCAGAGGGCTGGCCAGGTACAGCACGCTGTGGGCGATCTCTGTCTTGTTTCCAAGTCTTTGTGCAGGGTTTGAAAGACACTTTAATTTCAAACTGTCCTGGGGGCCCCCTGGAAGGCAATAGGAAGTCAGGACCCAGTAAACCCAGTGTCCACTGCTGCCTCGATCCAGCACTCCCTCCGGCCTACATCTGGAAAAGGTGGTCGCTCTAGCAGGGCCTAGCAGAACAACAACAGAGGAAGTGCAGAATGCCACAGAATCCACGGGAGGGAAAGCGATACCCTCTGGGCAATCAGTGAGGGTACGGAGAGCCTAAGAGTTAGGCCAAGTTAGACAGGGTAGAAGGTCAAACATTTGGATAACTTCTTGACTGGAATAAGACAAAATGTTTGCTGTTGTTTTTTGTTTGTTTGTTTTTGTTTTCCAAAACAGGGTTTCTCTGTGAAGCTCTGGCTGTCCTGGAACTCACTCTGTAGACCAGGCTGGCCTGGAACTCAGAGATCTGCCTTCCTCTGCCTCCCAAGTGCTGGGATTAAAGGCGTGTGCCACTGCCTCGCTGAAGATAGAATATTTTAAGCCCTGCTACAATTTGAGAAGCTTTGATGGTTGTCCCAAACTCCCAAAGAGACTTACCCAGTCGCCGCATCCCCTCAGTGCCACTGATGGGACCAGGAGCCAGGCTGTTGACACGGATATTCTGGGGACCCCACTCCACAGCCAAGTGTCGCGTCATAGCATCTGCGTGGGAGAAATACACATAGGAGGGGAAACCGTGAGGCCGTGCCATCTCTGGGTTAGCCTAAATGCCAGCGGGAGCTCAGGGTCAGGTCTAGGCCTGTGCAGTGTCCACGGCTAGGGTCAAGTCCGTGTGGAGGTTACCAGGCTCCAGGGACAGTCAAGGGGATAATTCACAGGGGGCGCCCATACCCACGGCTGCCTTGGCCGCGCCTGCGTGGAGCTGCAGCACCTGCCCCCGCATGCTAAGAGTGGCGGTGATGTTCACAATCACTCCTCCATGGTCCTGAAACATACAAGGGATGGCCGTGAGTGGGGAGCCACAGGAGGAAAGGCCCCTGCCCGGAGGATACCCACCCGGAAGAACTTCTCGTAAAGCACACGAGACACATTGAAGGTGCCAATGGTGTCGATGTCAACCACAGTCTTGAAGGCGTTGAAAGACAAAGCGCTGGCCGGGCATAAGAAGTTTCCAGCTGCACCTGGAGATCAGAAGGGAAAAGCTGGTGGGCTGCGGCTCTGAAAAGACAGGACACTAATGGGCTAATCCCTGCCAAGGGTACAAAAAGGAGCCTGATGTTCTGTGGGCTCTGAGAGTGTGGAGACCCTCAAAGCGGTCTGAACCGGACAAGACAGAACTCAAAGCACTTGAAATTCATGGGCAACAGGCACAGGATAGAAGACGAGATGCCAAGAAGTTAAGTCCTGAAACCAAGTATAAAGGCGGCACGTGGGGCAGAGGCAGAAGGATCAGGAGTTCAAGGTCATCTTCAAGCACACAGTAAGTTTGATCCCAGCCTGGCCTATAGGAGATTCTATCTCACAAAATAAATAGATAGATGATAGATCAGTAGATAGATTTTTTTTTTTTTTTGGTGTTTGTGAATGTGACCTTATTTGAAAATAGAGTCTTTAATAGGCCTGGTAGCCCAAGCCTTTAGTCCCAGCACTTGGGAGGCAGAGGCAAGGGATCTCTAAGTTCAAGGCTAGCCTGGTCTACAGAGTGAGCTCCAGGACAGCCAGGGCACACAGAGAAACCCTGTCTCAGGAAAAAAAATATGGAGCCTTAATATATGATAATAATATAAATTATTCAGCAAATGTAACATTTGAGTAATAGCAGATATTGTGAAGTAATTATATAGAATTCTGTTTTATCTACTTAATTATTCTGTAAGGCTACAAAATCAACTTTTTTCTGGGCCAAAGATAGTAACCAGTCCATTTTGCATGATGAGCTCCATTCCCAACTCTATTACTTTGAATTATTTGTTTATTTATTTAGAGACAGGGTCTCTTTATATAACTCTGGCTGTCCTGGAACTTATCATGTAGACCAGGCTGGCCTCAAACTAAGAGATCTGCTTGCCTCTGCCTCCTGTGTGCTCAGATTAAAGGCATGTGCCACCACACCTGGGGAGGCAGCCTCATACTTTTATTTTAGTATTTATTTAGTATGTGTACATGGGTGGTGTGTGCAGGTGTGCAGATGCCAGGGCATGTGTGGGGGTCAGAGGACATCCTGCGGTGGTGGACACACTCATTCCACCATGTGGGTCCCAGGGATAGGACTCAGGTCTAAGCTGCTGAGTCACCTCACCAGCCCACTTTTTAAAGTGGAAATTTCAGTCCACAAGAACACCCCTGAAGTGTGACTTAGTCATGTTCACAGCGCACCCAGCAGAGCTTAGGCTTTGCTGACCCGCCACTCGGAAAGAGCAGAGATTGTCCAGGACAGAGCCTGTAGCCTAGATTGTGCCTCTGGCAAATGAAAAGGTCCTGGCTGGGCCAGGACAGAACCTGTAGCCTGAGTCTTGCCTCTGGCAACTGTGAGGCCATAGTCAGGCCAGGACAAGCACCTAGGCTCTCTGGCACACCCCTGCCCCCAGGAACAGAGTTCTAGAGCTTCCAAGCAGCACTATCGACCTATCAGATGGCTCCGGCCTCACTTGTTGCTGACTCACAGTTAATAAGGATGTCGATTTTGCCAAACTCTTTCAGCGCCTGGTCCACAGCAGCCATGACAGCTGAGGGAACTCGAACATCCATAGATAGAGGGAGGCACCGCCTTCCGGTGGCAGCAACCAACTTTCCAGCAGCCTAGGCAGCAGACAGGAAGAGGGTTGGCTAGCAGCCTCAGCCTGGAGAAGCAGACCTTAGAACTCGATGGAAATGATACATTACATTAGGACCCCAAATTTGCCATGGTACCCTGCCAAGGGAGACTTGGCTTGCAAATAGCCACCCCCTGGGGTCATGACCCCTGGTGGATGTAGGTAAGACATCCTGCATTCTCTATAACCTGTCACCTGTCCCAGATCTCACCTTCTGCCTACCCTGTAGGCATTTCCCCTGACCCTAGATGGGTGGGATGATGACCTTCATAGTGCTGGCGATCCTACTGAATAATTCTGGAACCATATTACTTCTAAAAACATGACCCAATAGCCAAACTTCCAAAACGTCAAGGGTATCGAGGCTGGGCTTGGTGGCGCACGCCTTTAGTCCCAGCACTCCGAGGCAGAGCCAGGCGGATCTCTGTGAGTTCAAGGCCAGCCCGGTCTACAGAGTGAGATCCAGGACGGGCACCAAAACTACACAGAGGAACCTTGTCTTGAAAAAAACAAAACAAAGAAACAAACAAAAAAGTCAAGGGTATCCATGAGGGTCCATTTCCACTGAGCTCCTCTACATAAGAAGAAACAGGTTTTTGGTGTTTTTATCCCCTGGGCCTCAGGACTCTTTCCCCACCCAGGTTCAGAACCCCACAGCCTTGCTCTCACCGTGGACACTCTTGGCAGACTCCTGCTGACGATGACAGTGTGGCAGCCATGCCTACAAAACCGAATGGCAGGACTGAGAAGGAAGACAAGTAAGAGGGACACGCCCCGGGGGAGGCCCCTACCAGGTACTACTCTAAGAGGAACTCCCCCGAGAGTTCCGAAGGCTGAGGTATGAATCAAGGCTGAAGCATGACTGGCAGCAGGCAGAGGGACTCAGGCAGGGCAGAGCAACTCTAGAAGGACTGCAGGGTGCCATGGCTGCCCACCCCTCGGTTTCTGTGATATGTCTCGGGGGTGGGGTATTCTGGCCCAGACACTGTGTACATGGCAGAGGGGGTGTGGTGGGCGACTGGTGCCAATCCCAGACCTGTGCAGGACCTGCTGGGGCACAGGAGTGGAGGATAGAGAGCCCATTTTGAGAGAGGAAGCCTCATGGGGACAGCAATGGGCAGTTCCACCAAAACTACACTAAGTCATCCGACCGTCACGATTAGATAACACACAGGACTTTGTTCTACCAAGAAGAAAGTGCATAAAGCCACTACTTCGAACAATAGTCGACTACCTGGAGCCACAGTCAGTTCTTGTGGGGCTCACCTCAGGTTGTGAAAAGTGGAGTATTGGGGAGAACTGGAGAAGGTTCTTCTACCTCCGCCTCAGCCTGATTCTGAGCCTCCGCTGGCCTCAGTAGCAAGTTGCTAACCCTCTCATGATGCCACAAGACCTGTGTCCCCAGAGACACTCTTGTCCACCGTAGCAGCCCCCTCAGAACCTATAAACCTCCGAGGCCAGTCACACAGACCTTTAGGAGACTCCAAAGGTCCTGTCTTCCCCAACCCCAGGGCAGCACCCAACCATTCCCCAAAATCCATTAGGGTCCAGCCAACGGAAAGTAAGGTGATAGGGAGGGTCTCAGGGCAGTGTGTACCTCATGAAAATCTCAGCGATCCGGAAGCCAATCCCAGAACCACCACCTGTAATAAAGGCCACCTTGTCCCTTCAAAAAAAGGAAAATGTAGTCATTTTTTTAAAAATATTTTTTATTTCATCCCTATGAGTATTTTGCCCGTGTGCCTACACATGGTTGAGTCCTCATGTGGATGCTGGGGATCGAAGCTGAGTCCTCTGGAAGAGCAGTAGGTGCTCTGAACCACTGAGCCAGCTTTCTAGTCCCTAGAGTCTACTTTAATGCCAATGTTTTAGCCTGGTGGGGGATGCATGCGTGTAACTCCAGCATCAGGAATTACATAAGAGCTACATAGTGAGTTTCAGGACAGCCTAAACTACGTAAGATTCTGTCTCAATAAATAAATCACTGGCCAGGCAGTGGTGGCGCACGCCTTTAATCTCAGCACTCGAGAGGCAGAGGCAGGTGGATCTCTGTGAATTCGAGGCCAGCCTGGTTTACAGAGAGAGTTCCAGATAGCCAGGTCTACAGAGAGAAACCTTGTCTCGAAAAACCAAAACTAAATAAATAAGTAAATAAATCACTGTTAACAGAGGATAAATAGGTGGCCTAAGGGGGACTTTGATCCCATGAACTTTCACCCAGTTTGGCTATGAAAGAAAATATGCTCAAGCAGAGGCTGGAACCCAGTGGGTTTGCTAGACACAATCCACAGCCATAAAACTGCAATCTTTAAAGTCTGTTGTTATTGGGCTTCCTGGAAGTTCATAACATTTAACCTAAAATGCTTTGTGTAGTAAGGTCTCAAGTGAGACATTTTCAAAACGAACAAGCTTCCTCCCTCAGTCCTTCATCCGATCCTTCCAGAACCCCAAGAAACTTCAGGTCTGCCCAGGAGCAGAGTACTGAGCACCAGTCCCAGCAGCAGATCCGTTCTGACCCCTGTACCCCAACCCCGGATCTCTCCCTTATTCCCTGCTTTAGCTCACTGAAGAAGGTCCGGGCAGAAGAGGTGGTGGTATTCAGAAAGACAATCGTCCTCCTCAACGTCGGGCGGCTGCTGGTCCATGACGCTCGCTGTGTGCGGGCCGCAGTGGTGAGGACAGTAAAACTGGGAACCAGACCCTACCTTGCAGTGCACAGCGTTCTGCAAGCTGCTCGCTCCGCCCAGAAACAACCAGGACCAGAGTCCCACCCCCCCACGCCACCCCGCCCACCAGACTCTCTCAGCAGGGAGGCCCCACCCATAAGGCGGTGCCTCGTCCCTTCCACGCCTTCCTATCACACTCCGGTCTGCGACTCCCCGCCCTCCCGCTCTTCGCATTCCACCCGGCGGGCACCCCACCCATGGTGGCGCGCGGCCTGCTGGGACTGCAAGAGGGAGGAGGCGCAGACGCAGACGCCGTACGATGCTCCCGCCTGTTAAACCCCGAGTCCTTTCCCAGTTGGATGTAGGTGAGGCCACTTAATCCAAGTACCCAAGCTGGCCAGACAGTGTCGTATCAGCTTGGACACTCCCTTCCAGTGCAAGAGGATCGGGAGTTTGCAAAGCCAATAGCTCCCTCGCGTGGCTAGCCCGGGTGAAAAAATTCCCAGAGTGGCCCTCTTGGTGGCTGGCAAGGATCACCGCACTTGATCCACATTCTCCTGAAGCTGTTCAGACAAGAGACCGGTTGCTGAGAACCCAGGAGTGGGTTCCGTCGTCCAGCTGTTAAAAAGTGAAATGACTTGTCAATTAGCCTCAGAAGCGGTCATGTGTATCAGCTACTTGGGTCAGCCACTTCAGGATCCTGGGTGAGATGGGATTCACATGTATCAACGTGAAGATAAAAGGCGTCAGGCAGTGGTCACCGTCACAGACCACATCAGGTCAAGAGTGGAGAATACTCTCTGGTGCCTGGGTTGCATTGAGGGAAAGATGAGCGTAGCCCCTGGAGTGTAAGCCTCCGCTGTTCCGACCTCAGACCAGACACACATTACCTACAAGGACTGGCACTGCTACCCACAAGTTGTGTGCCTTGAAGAAACCTTGGGCCCACCTATCCCTTGCTGCCACCCACTCTCAGAAGAATCATACAGGCAGGAGCTGTAACAGCACCAGCCAAAGAACTCCATTCGGATTCTCGATTTCACGAACCCTGAACTCTTGCCTGGTTGATATAGTTACCAAAGTCAAGGGATCCTCCTCCCAGGGGAGGAAAGCTATAAGCTTCAAGCCAGTTTACACCAAGCATAAAAAACTCTCATTAGAGTGCTGGAGTAAAGCCGTTTTCTCCAGATATGACTACCGGACCTATAGGAAGCTTGGCCCTGCAGTTATGCCAAGGAAATGAGTAGAATACAGTGATAGCTGGGACTAGGGTAATAGTAATGCAGGGCGTCTCAGAACCTTTGCCTTAGGTTCCCACCTAGAACTCCTTCCTACTGTCAGGGGTCTTGGGGCAGGGATGCTAGGGCATATAAGAACTGAACACAGGGTCCCACCAGGCAGTTTCCTTGATTCATGCTGGGTGGGACTTTTCAGTGATTCAGCTGTTCTGAAGTCATCCGTGCTTCTGTAGCTAGCCCCGCATCCATGTCCCGTCCGTCCAATAAAGCCATGGGTTCCCCAAGCTGGGAATGGATAGAATTGCTACTCTGCACATCTCCCCAGCAAAGATCACACAATGCTGAGATGGCAGAAATAAGTATACCATCCCCATTTGAAGCAGAAGATTTTAATGTTTCTCCTTTGGGGCAGGCGAAACCACCTGTGACAATGTCCCCAAGGTTGTCTGGCACTTTGGTACAGAAGGATATGGTCCAATATTGTGCTGGTTTCGGACAGAACAAGGCACATACAGTTGAGGTTTAGACTCCCTGGGCTGGGGGTAGACAAAAGGTAAACAGGGAGTGTTTGGGAGACGGGAAGGGTATGGGCTGGAGTTCTTGTTGGCAGAGGTAGTTGGTCATGGATGAACCCTGAAGTGCAGAGGGCAGTTCAAACCCTCAGGCTGGGTAGCAGCTGCTGTGGTGACCACCGTCTGCCCAGGTCAACAGTTCACTGCTCTGAAACCACAGCTGGATCTCTCTCTGGGCCCCCTCCACAGAATCGCTAGCATGGATGACATTCCTGTGAGAGGGAGAGGTAAAGCCTATGCCTCAGTGAGAGAGCTCCCAGGGACAATTGCCTCTAGCCTGCTGCCCTCTGTCAGGGGAACAGTGTGATCGTACAGAAGAGAAAGGGATTTTGGAGCTGGTTATGGTGCTAAGAGCCTGTAATACCAGCACCGAAGAAGCTGAGATGGGAGGACTGCCTCGAGTTCTAGGCCAGCCTGGATTACAGAGGAGACCCAGTCTCAGGAAGGAAGGGAGGGGCTGGAGAGATGGCTCAACAGTTCAGAGTACATTCATTCTCTTGCAGAGAACCTGAGCTTAGTTCCCAGCACCTGAACAGGGCAGCTCAAAACTACCTGTAACTCCAGCTCCAGAGCATCTTACACCCTCTTCTGGCTTACACAGGCACTGCAGGCACATGCACAGACACACACGCACATGCACACGCACACGCACACGGGCCAGGCAGTGGGGGCGCATGCCTTTAATCATAGCTCTTGGGAGTCAGGGGCAGGCGGATCTCTGTGAGTTTGGGGCCAGCCTGGTCTACAGAGTGAGTTCCAGGATAGCTAGGACTGTTATACAGAGAAACCCTGTCTTGAAAAATTAAAAAAAAAGGAAGATGAGAGCTAGAGATGTAGCTCAGCTGGCAGAGTGCTTGCCTAGCATGCACAAAGCCCCAAATTTGATTCCCAGCACCACATAAACCAGGCATGGCAGTGCATGTCTGTAATCCAGTACTTGGGAAGTAGAGGCAGAAAGATTACAAGTTCATGGTCATCCTCAGCAATATAATCAGTTTGGGACCAGCCTGGATTACATGAGATTCTATCTGGAAAAAAAAAATGGCCGGGTGGTGGCGCACGCCTTTAATCCCAGCACTCGGGAGGCAGAGGCAGGCAGATCTCTGTGAGTTCGAGGCCAGCCTGGGTCTACAGAGCGAGATCCAGGAAAGGCACAAAGCTATACAGAGAAACCCTGTCTCGAAAAACCAAGAAGAAGAAGAAGAAGAAGAAGAAGAAGAAGAAGAAGAAGAAGAAGAAGAAGAAGAAGAAGAAGAAGAAGAAGAAGAAGAAGAAGAAGAAAAGGGGGAAGGAAAGTGGATAGGCAGTAACAGGCTGGAAATCTGCATCTAGCCTGGCCTTGGTTTCTTGCAAGCTCAGAAGCTAGCCTATACACCAGCTTCTGAGGGCTAGATTTCCCTACCAGTTATCACAGCCAAACCCATATGGTTACTGACCAAAAGAGAATACTAAAGAGCCAGGGAAAATACTATTTGTAGTTTCACATGCCTTCAATTCCAGCACTCAGGTGGCAGAGGCAGGTGGATCTCTGTAAGTTCAAGGCCAGCCTGGTCTACAGAGTGGGCTTCAGGACAGCCAGGGCTACACAGAGAAACCCTGTCTGGAAGGAAAAAAAAAAGAAGCCAGGGAAAAAGGGTTTAGTCAGACATGGTAGCATACTGTAAGTTAACATTCAGGTGGTAGAGGCTCGAAGATCAGGAGTTCAAGACAGCCTGAACTACTTAATAAGCTCAAAGCTAGCCTGGCCTACCTGACAACTTATCTCAAATAAATAAAACCTTATAGTAAACACCCCACTATCAGAAACTTTCAGCCCAGCAAGAAACCCACTTCTCAAGGATCTGTCTTCTCTCCCTGCCCACCCATCCCCCAAAAAAACAAACAGGGTTTCTCTGTGTAGCCCTGGCTATCCTAGAACTCACTCTGTAGACTAGGCTGGCCTTGCACTCAGAGATCCGCCTGCCTCTGCCTCCCCAGTGCTGGGATTAAAGGTGTGTGCCACTAACCCCGGCTTCAAGGATCTGTCTTAAGTGCAGGCTGCCAGTCTAATTGGCCTTCTTTATCCCATATTGGGAGACTAAGGGTGTCAGGGCCTCCATACCTGCTGATGTGAACACTGAAGTCTCCCCTGATTGTCCCAGGGGCTGCCTGGGTTGAGTCAGTGTGTCCTATCATGGTCCTTGAGATGTGGACCACATTGTGCCCTTCCCAGACCTGCAGCACAGATATGAAGGTTGGAGAAGTTGGGGGACCCTAGGTGCCCTGGGCTGAATCCAAGCCCTTCCTTTGCTTAGGGGAGGACACCCCACACACCCGTTCCATTGCCCCTGTACCATGGCCACCACAGGCCCAGAGCTCATGTAGCTGATAAGGGATGGGTAGAATGGCTTCCTCTGTAGGTCCCGGTAGTGCTCAGCAAGGATGCTCTCTGGTGCCTGTGTGGAAGGAGGGGTAAGAAGAACCCTTGGAGAGTAAACCCTGAATTGGTGTCCTGAGTTTGGGGCACCTTTCAGACACTACTATGGAAGCTAGCTCCCAGAATGGTTACTCCCAACCTTTGCAACTGCCAGTGCTAGGAGACTCTCCCTAGAGTCTCCTAGGGCTAAGGGCTGATACCTGCAACATCTTCATCCCCACTAGCTTGAAGCCTCGCCTCTCAAAGCGCTGTATCACAGTCCCCACTAGCCTCCGCTGCACCCCATCTGGCTTCACAGCAACCAGGGTCCGCTCCTGGGGCCAGGAAGGCCCTCCTGTAAAAGAGGAAGAGTCAGGGGTCAAGATGATCCACATTTTCAGGTTTCTCCCACCTAGATCCCTGACAGAGCTCAGACATCACAGCACTGGAAAGTACCCACCACCTTGTAGGGAGATCTGGAAGAACAAATACAAATGGGAGCTGGCCAAGTTGGATGATTTCCCCAAATCCAAGATGATTTCCCCAAAAAGGTTCAGATAACTTAGGGACCAAAGAGGCCTTGTGATGCCCACCCGCCCTGGGAAGAAAACTTGAGCCTAGCCAGGGTACCACACTGTGTGAACCCCAGGCCTGCACACTAGGAGCTTATCCTTTGGGTATGAAGAAATGGCATGAAATCAAGGAGACTTAGTGCCCCACCTCCAGGTGGCCTGAGTGCTGGGGACAAAGGGATAAGACTTGAGAAGGACGGTGACAGGAAGTGATCCACATGGCAGGACAGGGACTCAGCTGCTGGGGGTTCAGGCTGCCTCTCAAGAGAACACTGTCAGGGGTTCCGCAGCTGTCTTCAAGCTTCTGCCGCCCTATGCAACTACCAGGACATTGAGTGTCTCCTCCAAGATCAAATGTTACTTTGTTTTGGTTTTGGAGACAAAGTTTTTCTGTGTAGCCCTGGCTCTCCTATAACTTACTCTGTAGACAAGGCTGGCCTCGAACTCAGAGATCCACCTGCCTCTGCCTCCTGAGTGCTGGCATTAAAGGCAGGCACCACCACCACTGGCTCAAAAACTACTTTTGAGAGGGTCCTACCCCGGATCGTCTCGCAAAAGTGTACCAAAGAAAGGAGAAACACCAAGTTAAGAATTTAGAAAGGAGGGATCCGGCTCCATCCTCAGGCCACAATGGGTGCCCACTACAACTCAACAGGTTGAATAAAACCCAAAGAATTTAGTCTCCCTTACATACTTGTTCTGCTACCTGAGTTGACAGGGGACCCAAGGTAGCCCCAGAATTCTGATGCCTGCTGCTGTGTGCCTTGATAATACTGTTCAATTTCCAGGGTGCATGAAAAGAACACAGGTTATCTGGCTCTCAGAAAGCACCCCATGAAGAGCAGGGACCCCAGGAAGTGGCTGGGTTGTCTTAGGCCTGCTCTGGCTCAGGCTGGCTTTCAATACCCTAGGAACAACGGCTCCGTGAAGAGAAAGTGACCCCCCTACACCCTTAGGAGCCACGGGTCTGCTAGTCTCCCCGCCTGGGCTTCTGCATTCTTCTGCTAAAAGCCCTGACCCTGGCTGCTGGGGGTTGTGCTGGCACGGTCCTCCGGGACAAAACCAAGCCTTCAGCAGCTGCACGTGCGCAAACAAAGGCCGCGCGGCAGCCATCCGCCCAGCTCCCCACGGGTGCAGGACTCACCGGAACTGGGGCGCACCAGCAGGCCTGGAATGCGTGGCCCGCACAACAACGCCCGCAGCGCCGCAGCCCCAAAGAAACAGCCCATGGCGCGGGCTGGCGCGGTGCGGAATGCAGCGCCAAGAGGGCAGAGGGAGGTGCCACACTTCGGCCCGCCCCGCCCCGCCTCCACCCCAAGGGGCCGTTGGGGCCCCTCACCCTAGATCTCGCAGGTTCCAAGCTGTGATCTCTGTTAAAATCCGGAGAAAACCCGCTAGGGTGCAGTTCAGTGCGCCGAGGCTTGGGCTAGACCTCCCCAGTACTAGAGTTGGGGTGGGAGAAGAAAAAAAAAATGCAATGGTCCATTCAGTATTTATTATACTCGTCTTCGTACCACAGTCAAACATTCTAAGTATACTTCATGGAGAATAGCTTTTTCATAAATACCAATTGGCTCTATTTAGCTGGGTTTGGCAGTTGGACTATTTGTCAGTTCTGTTACTACGTCCTTAACTTTTCAAACTATTTATTTATTGAAATTTTTGTTTTGTTTAAAAATTGTTCTTTTGGGCCGGGCGGTGGTGGCGCACGCCTTTAATCCCAGCACTCGGGAGGCAGAGCCAGGCGGATCTCTGTGAGTTCGAGGCCAGCCTGGGCTACCAAGTGA